CCATCCTCTTACTTCAGCATTTTTCTTCTCCCATTACCTTCACCTGGGAATGCAAGGAGGCACCTGAGGAAATCCCAGCGTGTTTGGCTACAGACAGGGAAGGCGCTTACTTACCCATGCCCTGCTGAGGGATTTGAGGCCGCTCCTTCCCGCGGCCCGGATGCGCGGAGCGGATGCCCGGCGATATAGATAGCGCTCGCAAAGCCCTGCGCGTTGGGTTTCAAAGTGGCGAGGTTTATATGTACGGTTAAGGCGATTTAAGCCACTTGGGAGACTCCGAGCTTTTCAAATCGATCCCCCTTCCTGTCACTTCGGAGTTCCCGAGTGGAGGCTGCACACAGCAGCACCTGCAGTTTCAGCTCCGCAACAAGAGGGCACATGTAGTGGTAAGATTTATTCTTCTAACAAACCCACCATTTTCCATGGCCTGTGAAAATGCAACGTGGGAGAGTGGGGAATTGATGCAATGCTGAGGTTTTCCTGATGTTATTCATGACTGCTGGTATGATACGGTCCTCTTTCCTAAGAAAGCAGTTGCTCCAAGCCAAAGGGAACAGACTAGCACAGCGGGCCGTTCCATGCATGTGGAAAGAGAGGAAGTGAAAGCAAAGGTGCGTGCATGGAGCAGCATCTCCCCCAATGCGACCGCAAGCACCAGCCCCACGTGTCCAACCTGCCCCTTCTCCCACCGAAACTGCCTAGGAATCAGGGCATGTCATTGCTGCCCACTGGCCTCTGCAGGGAACGGCAGTGGAAGCGCTGGGAAAAGCCCGGATTCAGCTCCCAGGGATTTGCTCGGCCCAGGACGCGGCTTTCCCTGGTGTGCACTGCTTTGGGACAGCCGGTTTCTCGTCGCCGCCGCTCGCCCAGCCCTCGGCTGCAAAGTCGCTCTGAGCTCAGGCAGCTCCAAGGGGATTTTTTGGATAGAAAGGAGGCCGAGCGGATGCTGCCAGGACAGGAGCCCCGAGCCTGAGGCTGATGGGGGAGTCAGGGTGTCCCTGTGTTGCAGCCCAGCCTGCACGTGGCTTTAGGAGGCAACTTCTGGCTTTGAGATAACCGACTCAGCAGCTTATGGTCACAGGCTCCATCCTGCAAAGGCTCCTGCTGGACACATGGAGAATGCTTGAAAGTTGGCTTGGGACAGAGGGGCCTGACCCAATGCAGGCACAAAAAAGACCAGCAGCATTAAATTTGCTTTCCCAATGGTATTTTCAGTGCCATCTAGGAATCCATTCTTGCAGTAGCATCAAAGTAGGGATGGGCAGCTTCCCCAAACCACTTCTACAGCAAGTGGGGCTGTGTTGGAAAGACGCTCCCTTGAATGCTGCCTTTCCCAAGGGATCTGAAGCACGTGGGACACTATCGCCAGGAGATGCTTTGAAGGAAGTGCTGGGACCTTGTGCGCAGCAGGGCCGCTCCGGGCTCGCCTGCCACGGCCGAGCTCCTTCCAGCCTCAAGCTGGCACAGCCTCTTGCAGAGCCCTTTTCATCCTGCTTCACTCTCTGAATGCATCAAAAAAGAAAAGAAAAACAGAAAGGCACCAGACACCTCAATATCTGCGACGCCACCTTGACTTCTGGGCTCTCTCGGTTGTTACTTGCGAGGCAAAATGAAGGCGGCCACCTCCATGCATGAGGTTTTAGAGCAGAACAAAGCAAACAGGCTGGTTTTCCTAACAGTGCAGAATGTGCTAAAAAAAAAAAAAAAAAAGAAAGAAAAGAAAAAAGAAAAAAACCACCCAACCCAAAACCACAAGCACAGAAAAGAGGACGCAGTGCTACTGCACGCCACAACTCACCGCCACCCATCGGGGCGAGCTGCTGGCGCAGAGGGAGCCTTCCCGCGCTGCGCCGTGCTGCCGCCCCGCGCTCTCGCTCTGCGGCAGCCCAGCCGCGCAGCGCTGCCCTTCCCACCCCCTCATTCCCGGGGATGGGAGAGCCCGGAGCACGGGGAAAGCGGGGCAGGTGAGGAGGGAGGCAGGGTCAGGAGCAGGCGCGCTCAGGGCTGCAAGCACACGCGCTCCCGGCTGCAGCGCGCTGCTCGCAGCATCCTGTCCCAGTCCGGAGAAGTGGCGTGGGATGCTGCAAAGGCTGGCACAGGCAGCGCTGCTCTAGGGGCAGCTTTGGGGCAGGTTTGGCTGCGCTCAGGGCACTGCAGCCCCTCGCTCTGCGGCAGGGCACCCAGGGTGGAGAGCTGCTGGCCGCAAGCAGCAAGGCCGTCCTCATCGGCGACATAATCCTGGGCAATGCACAACTCAAACGCTCCGCTCGCAGCCCGGAAAAGCAGCCCACAACCACATACACCCATCCTAAGGTCTCCTTGGAAGGTCTAAGGTCTCCTTGGAAGGTAAGAAAGAATGAGAGGCCAGAGGATTTGAGCGATTAGGCTCTTGTTAAACAACTCAAATCATTCCTGGCACAACTCATTATTTATTTATTTATTTTAAGCAGATCATTACAATATTTAATTTGATCCACTTGCACGAGAAACACAGAGGCTGCCACCTCTCTGCCTGCGTCCGGGCAGGACACTGTCAGACACGGATTTCCAGTCTGTGTGCAAAGCAAGCAAGTGCAAAGGGCCGAGCAAAGCACTCTAGAGAGGGACGCGACACAACCAGCCTTTGCTTGTTCCTGGCACTAACATTTGCCCCCTCGAGCACTCCCTGCTCCGTAGGTTTCTGGATGGGACTAGTCACTGTTTTGTGGGCTATGCGGAGCATTCCCTACACCGACACAGAGAACACGCTCCAACTGTGCTGTCTTGAGCTGCCCTGTGACCAGTCCCAAGCTGAGGAACAGTAAATAGTTGATTATGTTGCACAGAGAACCACTATGCACAGTGAGGCTCAATACATTATTTACCAGGGTTGAGAGCACAGAGAGGGCATGGGAGCCCTGTCAGGAGGAGAAAGAAAAGAAGTCTGAGTTTCCTCAACAAGTGCTTTGGTTTCAGGTAGGATCAGTGTTACAATAATGATAAGTGGTTTCCCTTGTAAGATTTAGGCAATCTTAAGTAAATTCACCTCCTATCCCGAGTATCCAGTGCAGGATTGGGGCTTTTTGCTGCGTGCATTCAGGCAGCTATGTTACAAGAGCACAAGTTGCACTTGTTGCACCCGAAAACCCCAAACATCAGGGACCACAGCAAGGGGCAATAAATGGAAATAACTGTGCAAGCGGAGCACTTCCAAAGCGATTTTGGAAGCTGAACCAGCCAAAAACCAGGGAAGCATTTCTTCTTCACTGTGTCCTGGGAGCGAGAGACTCGCGCAAAGAGGGGCGAAGCCCTCCGCCGTGCTCTCGGCTCCGCGGGGAGCGCCAGGGCAGCGCTGGGGCGCGGGGCGGGCAGCGCTCAGTTCACACGGGTTACGCTCAGCAGGGCACGCGCGGGGCAGGGGCAGGCGGCACCGCAGCACGCTCAACCCGCGACGTTTGAGGGTTTCCCGGCGCGCTGCCCCCGGCCCTGCTCTCATTGCTCCCCCTCGGCAGCCCCGCCGCGGCCGCCCCGCACTCACCCAGCACGAAGCAGAGGAAGCGCCGCGGCAGCAGCGCCATCCGCAGCGCGCGCGCCGCCGCGGGCCGCCCGCAGCCC